TGTTGTGTAACATACCCTCCTAAAACCTCGCAGCTTAAAACAACTATCTTATTTGCTTATGATTCTTCAGGTGTTGCTCGGGGTCTCTCACAGGGCTGCAGGCACCTGCAGATTTGCTGAGACGTGATGGTCTAGGATAGCCTCATTCACATGTGTGGTGCTTGAGACTGACTGTCAGCAGCCTCTCTTTCCAGGTGGCCACTCATCCTCCAGCAGCCCTGCCCCAGGTTCTTCAGATGGTAGTCTCAGGGTTCCAAGAGGGCGAGAGAAGACGTAGCGAAGCCTTTTGAGGCCCTGGCTCAGAAATCCCACAATGTCATTTCACCACAATCCATTAGCCAAAGCCAGTCCAGCCCAGATTCAGGGGACAAGGAGATAGACTCCACTTCTTGATGGGAGGAGCGGCACAGTCACTTTGCAGAGAGGTGCATATAGGCCTGGGAGGATCATTGCAGCCGCCTTTGCTAACAATCCACCTCAGATATCAATGCTGCTGGTTCCTGGACCCTGTTTGAGTAGCTAAGATTCAGAACAGTGGTTCTCCACCTTGGCTGAACATCGGAATCATGCGAGAGAATTAAAAAATACTGATGCCTGTTGGAGATAAGTATCTTTGGACGTCAGTAGTTTTCAAAGCTCCCAGATAAGTCTAAAGCACAGCTTAGGTTGAGAGCCAGTGCTTCAGAAGTCTCCAGTTGAGTGTCTGGGTGGGTGGTTTTGAATACAGGAGGAGCTGGCTGGGGGTGGAAGAGTACTGATGAAATGAGTTAGGGATGTGTTGAGAACTGGTGAAAAGATAAACAGATAACTCAGAGATGAGTCTAGAACTCCAAGAAGAGATTTGCACTGGACACAAAGATTTGAGAATTATGAATGAGCCAATTATAGTTAAAACTAAGGTTCCAAGGAACTCACTTTGGAAAACCCTGGGGATGCATTTAGTGGACTCTCGGCTCAGTGAAGCCTTGATGGCTGGTGAGTGCCTAGGAGGCAGGGATGGGGCTCTGGGGTGCTGAGAAGATGGCAGACACCTCCAGGTCAGTAGTTGTCCCCATGGGGATTCAGTCAGTCAGCCACCATTCGTGAGTGCCATCAGTGTGCCTGGCCCAAGATCAAATGACCACGGAGTTGCCTCAAGGATCAGCTCTGAGCGCAAAAGGAAGGGAACACCGTGAACATGCTCAGAGAGGGGAGGTCATGTCAGCCTCTCAGCGTGGACTGCCTGGGACACGTTTTCATGAGAGTAGGGGCCACCTTCGGGGAAGAGCCATCTCTTAGATGAAAGTGCCTGACACATGGGGTTGGATAAGGGAAAAAGGCTAACATTTAACCAATTAGCTACCAGGCACTGTGCTAGCTTTAAGTGCATTTTCAGAGCAAAGCCAGAAGGTAAGGCAATGTGGGGTGGTGGTTAAGAGCTGGGCCTCTGGAGCTTGATAGCCTGGGTTCAGCCCTCAGTCCTGCTACTTATTGTGTGATTTGGAGTGAACTACTTAACCTCTCCGAGCCTCAGTTTTCTCTTGTACACGTTATTCCCGTGAAAGCTCAACAAGTCAGTCCACATTCTAGACCTGAAGCAACCCCTGATTTGAGGTAAGCCCCCAGTGAATATTACCTTCTTTTGATGATCCTTACATTCACCCCATAAAGCAGGTATCCTGGTTTACAGATGAGAAAGCGGATGCTCAAAGAGGTAAATAACCTGCCTAAGGGCCATGACAGGCAGGAGGGGAGCCAGGATGCAAACCATAGGCCATCCGTGGTTGCATGGCTCCTGCTGTCCCCTCTTCCCACAGGTAGTGGGAGCACAGGCCCCTCCACTCCCCCTAAATCCCCCTCTGCTTGGGACAGCCCATCCCTGGCAACACTTCACTTCCCTTCCAGGCTGCGTCAATGATCGGAAAAAACAGCTGAGGCAGCTGTTCCGCTCCCTTCAAGGCCAGAAGAAAACTCCCAACTAATCCCCAGCACAGAGGAGAGTGACCCGGGGAGGTGCCACACCAGTCCTCTCCCTGCTCCCAGTTTCCAGCACAGCAGCACCTCTGAGCACTCACCTCCCTCCCTCCCCCTCCCTCCGGCCTGGCAGCTGCTTTGCTAGCCTGGCACCCCCACCCTACCCTGGGAATCTCTGCACCAGGAGAGAGCCAATCCTCAGGACTGGATAGACTTTAACCTTGACGGATCAGCTGGCTTGGCGGTCAGGCCCAAAGAGGACAAATGCAGCAAGTTCTGCTACCCCCGAGATCACATCTAATAAAGGATCACAGTCTTTTTTTTGGGGGGGGAGGTGTACGCGGGCCTCTCACTGCCGTGGCCTCTCCCATTGCAGAGCACAGGCTCCGGACGCGCAGGCCCAGGCGCCATGGCCCACGGGCCCAGCAGCTCCGCAGCATGTGGGATCCCCCCGGACCGGGGCACGAACCCGTGTCCCCTGCATCGGCAGGCAGACTCCCAACCACTGCGCCACCAGGTCTTTATTCGGGCTCCAGGCTTGGCTCAGGAGATGCTGTTGGCTGCAACCAAATCTTCCTGGCTTTGACCCTTTGATGTCTCTCGGGGGGATCAGTGTTGAAAAGATCCTCCAGGAGCAAGGGTTCAGGGTTTATGGAACTTAAGCTGTGTTTGCAAAGCAAGCAGTTACTAGATTGTGTGTTTACTGGGGGTCTGGGGAAGGCCTCAGCCTTATATACATCTTGCCCTCCTTACCAATACCCTGACTGCATGTCAGGGAACACACGGACAAGGTAAGGATCAGGAAGGCAGAGCTACTTAGAGACAGTCTCTGCAAAGGTGCACTTATCGAAGTCAGGTGGGTGACCTAGGTGCCTCTCTGAGCCTTCCTGTTTGAGGTTGGGAGCTGAGCTTTTTAGACCAGAAAGCCTTGGGCTGGCAGGCAGAGATGGCTTGGGGAGTTGGGCACAAGTAAGAATGTCTGCATTTTCCACATTCCTACGCCTCCTCTAGGTTGAAGAGAAGTTGGAGCAAGAGTGGGCTGGTGGCTAATTGCTCCAGGGCGACCTACCAAGGGACCCTAGTCAACTAACTCCCTCTATCACTCTCCCCTCTTCAGGACAGTTCTTTGGGCTGCAAGAATCTGACTGTAGAAGGAAAGGAAGGGGAGGGGTGGGGAGGGCTCTTGAAAGGAAAATACTGGGAAATCTAAGTGAATCAGCCAGCCTTGGGAAGGCCTGAAGCCAGGCCACTCTGGGCCTCCTGCCTCCAGAGTGTGGGGACTTCCCTCATCCCTGGGACTGGGGCAAGCCCAGGCAACCCCAGGCATGGATTCCACATCTTTCCAGGAGGAAGAATCTGATTGGCTCTTCTTTGGCCTAGCATCCACCCTCAGCTAGACAGGCAGTGGCAATGTTCAGACAGACCAACTGTGAGCCAGGCAGTCATACTAGACAGCATCAACCAAAGTGAACGCCACAACTCCCCATTTTCAAATATACAACAGCAACATGTCCTTCCCTTGCACCCTGTGCCCCACCATGCAGTTTCTATTCCAAAGGAACCACATAATTGTTTGCACACAAATTATGAGCTTATTAGACACCTGTCCTTACTTCTCACTTTAATGTATCTTGGAGCTTGTTTCAAATCAGTGCTCAGAGCTTCTTGATTACAGCGGTATAGTATTGCACTACTTGAAGTTATCAATTTCTTTAATCTACTGTGGACAGACATTTAGTTTCCAATTCCACCTCCCTACTTCTTAGGGCCATTGTGGGGAAAACCCAGCAAATTCTACTAAGAAAACTCAATAGGATGCAAAATCATAGGTCTGGGCCAAATTTGACTTATGTAAAGTGTTTTGTTGGCCGACACCCAAGTTGCAAAAAGTTTTCTGAATTAGCAGTATTTAAAAAACAGAGGATTCAACCTAAAAATCTAAATTTCCAGATTATCTTGAAGAAAACACAGGATCTGGCCATGCCAGCTTGATTCCCCATATAACTTGGTTGGAACCAAATGGAGTGCCCTCTCCATCCTGCCATCTTCTGCTGTTACGGCTGCCTATCTAATCCTGACATCATTTCAAGGAGGAACCACTGCCCCTTCATAGATGGTATCCTAAAGGAGTGGCATGCCCTCAGTTAAGGACTGAATGAGGTGAAGACTAGAAGCTGCTATTCATTCATGTAGGTAACATTTATTGAGCCCTCGAGGCACACGAAAGACACCCCTCACGGCACATTCCCATCAGGATCGCAGACCCTGAGGGCAGATGGGAACTCCGAGCAGCACTGGCCCGGGCCCTGCTTTCAGAGCCGGTGGAGGCGCATCCTGCACAAGTGCAGCACAGTAAGACGCAGCCCCTCACCCATCTCTGGTGCAGGACTCTGCAAGGCCTTCCTGACTACAGAGCAGCCGCAGCAGGTTGATAAGCAGCACCTCCTCTGGGCTCTGTCCTGGGGGCAAGCAGGAAGATGGGCCCAAATGGAGGCAGTGCAGGGGGACTGTGTGTCTGCCTATGGCGGACCATGACGCACCAAGATTCTGTCCTTCATTCAGGACAGGAGCCTCCTCTGAGTCTCCTGCTTTATTCCAATTCCGTGACACACACTGCTTGAAAATGTCTCTCTTTCTGAGAGGAATGCTGGAATGAAGCTCCCACTCTTCCCCCTGCCCGGGGCCCATTTCAACAGCAGGCCATTGTTGAGAAGTGCCTGTTGCAGTCATTCTCACACCCCCACAAGCGCTGACCCCTCCCACCTCCTGGTGGCTGCCAGGGCCTGTCAATGGGCCTTGTGTCCACCCAGCCCCAGTGGTCAGGCCCGGCAGATACTGGCAGGCTGAGGGTTCCCTCCTGCCGTCACAAAATAGCCAAGTGCTACAGACAAAGAAGCTTCGTACAAGGGCTATGGCCAGATTCCTCACAACTGTCCCCTTGCAGAGTAGATCCTGTCCTTGAAGGTGTCAAGGCTGGAGAGTTCTAGGTCCTCCATGATCCCAGGGGGGGACGCTGGTCTTAGGTCCCCCACTTTCGTTCTTAAATTTCATCCTTTCAAGATGACCTTGAGAGCTTTAAGCTCATCCTCGTTGAGGGGGTTCAGGTTAAAACCCTTCAGCTCTGGTTTGCCTAAGGAGAGAAGACAATTCATCAGCGAGTTGGGCTCCTGCTGTCCAACCTACTGGCCCTGGAGTCAGGCCTGGGAAAGGGGCTTACACTGCATTCATGCTGCCAAACACTTGGCCTTGAGGTCTGACAGAAATGGACCTCAAATTCTGCAATGCACTGAACAATGCACATCCACACCTGCTCCTGAGTCACCAAGAATCTGCAGAGTCATGACTGCTGTCTAGAAACCTCCAGATTTGCACCAGACTGTGACCAATCTGGAGTGGTTTGGTTTACCTAGAAATTCAGCTCTAACCTGGACCACCTGACTGAGGCCTTCTGACCCTTAGTCAGAGCTATCCTAGTCCCGACACCATGCCCTGGCATAAATGTGAGCTATCCCAGGCCATTCCTGGTGCCTGAAAACAACTTGTGACAGGAATAAGATCCCACAAACTTCCCGTCCATTGCATCTCTGGGCGGCTCGAGACAACCCTGCCCACTGCCCACAGCTTCAGTGCCACTCACCAGCTGCCCGGGTCACCGCCAACCTGGAGGAGCTTCCCACCCCTGCCTTCAAAGTCCGTGTTGATGGTTGTCTCCCCTCCTGGTTTCCAGCCCCACCCCCAGCCCCCAGGCCAATACCTTGGGCCTCAAAGAGGCGATTGACCTTCACTTTAAGTTGTTTCCGGAGCCTCTCTATTTCTTTATCCAGATGTTCCTGATCTGAAAAATGAGATGGGCAAACAAGATGAGGTTATACTATAGAGAGATCTGAGGATGCCAGCCTCTCCCCAGCCCCCTTGAGAGCAAGGGGTCTCAGCATGTGGGAAAGAAAAGGAGACTTCGGAGACCAGCTGAGGAAGAAACTAAAGGCTAGAGAAGGGACATGACCTGCCCTGACCCGAGTGAGCCCAAAACAGGGCTGAACACACCAGTACCCTGACTCACAGTTCACCGAACTGTTTTCATTATGCAAAGTACCCTGGCCAGTGGATGGGGAAGGCAACGCCAGGATTTTAGGTTACCCTCCCACAGTGAAATTATGGAAAATTCAAATGTAAGGACAAAAAGAACCTAGATCCAGCCTACCCTAAGATGGATGGAAAACAGGTGGCTGAGGAATTTCACAAACCCACATTCATCAAGGTGAGGGGTTTTCACAAAGGCAGGATTGTGGTAACTGATACGTGAACAGTCAACGTGCAGCCTAATGCTCACGCTTAACCTAATTCACGGCTGTGAAGAGAAGGCTGTCTTACAGGATGCACTGCACCCAAAGGCAGGTGCACCGTGAGTAGTGCAACTGATCGGTGCCACCCAACCAACTCCCCCAGCTCTGTTTTCATCCACTCGTGAGTGACATTCCTGAATTCCTCACAGACTTCCATTCTTTCTGATGGGTGAAAGCCCTAACGAGCCGAGCCTCTGGCCTGGGCAGTGGTTCTGGTTCTCACTGTAAATGAGGAACCACAGCCTCACACAAGCTTGTTTAGCCTGTGTCCATCCCTGAGAACCAGAGGTGATGATGTCACAGAACTTCTCTATGTTGGTGACAAGACCACACTTGTGAGCTAAGAGAGCTGAGGATCCTGAACCCAGGCAGGCGATGCCCCGTGGAAGCTTAGTCTGAGCAGCCTCCAGCCTCCACCCAAGTGTAATGATGACTCTTAATTTTATAACCATAATATTAGTGTATGTTTTTCAACAAGACAGCTGGAAGCTTCTCCTCCAAGCTGACCTAGTTTTCTTTGCTAGAATTTCGGTTTCAATAGGGATAGAGATACCCTGTTTTCAGGGACAGAGGCAACCTTGTTGGTCCTCCTGGCCCACATGTTTTCAGGGGTACGGAAGAGAAAACATGCATAACTTGCCCTTTTCCCAGCCAAGGACCCATTTGTAGCCTGACCTTTTGCCTTTATGACACTCCTCCAAAGAGCCTCCAGGAACGTAGTTGTGAGATTTGAGTAACATATGTTGTGTATCCAGGCTGTGGCAGACCCTAGAGGTTCACTCTTCCCAAACGTCCATTTCAACCCACTTGCTACTGCAGGGGATGTGAAAAATAAGAGCTCCTCTGCCAGGCTCCCTGGCAGCTATGTGTGGGCATGTGCCTTAAATCCGGCAAATGAGGTATCAGCAGAAGTCCCTGAGGCGGACAGTCTTATTTTCAAAATAGAAGGCAAGGCCATATATGGAGAAAACCCTGTGCCTTTTCTCCAGCCTGGCACTCAAACATGAGACCTTCAATGATGACACAATAACCATGAGAACATGTTAAGGTGACACTGCTGAACAGCTGTGCCAGTCCTGTACTGCCCATCTCTGGACAGCTTCTTACATAAGAAAAACAGAACTCTATTTCCTTAACCCTCAATTTGTTGGATTCCTGTTATTTGCAGCCTAACTCATTCCTCACTGATAAACAAGCACTGCGCTAGGCACGCGTCCTCTTTTATCTCAACTTCACAACAACTGTGCTACGTAGAAGTGTCCCCCTTTTAGAGATGAGGAAATAACTCAGTGTAAGAGCAGGGATTAACGTGCACACAGCCGGCTCTCATCAAGCTGCTGCCCAAAGAAAGCCTGACTCTCGGTTCTCGGTTCTCGGTTAAGACCAAGGCTGGGGGGTGCGGGGGAACCTGTTCCTGACCCCTGCCCAGGAGGCCTTACCTTTCTCAATCATTTCCTTTGTCTCACGGTGAGGCATCCTGATAAACACGTTCCCAAAGCAAACCATCACGTCTTCTGAAATGGCAAACAGTCATTCCTTCAACAAATATTTTTATGCCAGGCATTGTTTTAGATGCTGAGAACACAGCGGAATAGGAGAAAGTTCCTGCCCTCATAGCTTATGTTATAGTGGAGGAGAGGCAATAAACAAAAAACATAATAAACAAAGATGTGATTTGTCAGACCCTGAAGAGTATCGTAGAGAAAACTAAAGCAGAGTAGCTGCTGAAACCCTGAGCCACAGTCTATGTCAGACCTGCAATACCGTCTCCCCCATCTCCACGGGCTGTGCTACATGCCTGTGGCCTCCTGCCCAGTCTCTATCAGGGACAAGTCAAAGGCCTTAGAAGGAAAACGGAACAGGCCTCCTGGGCTGCAGCGAGGAGGTCTAGGCTTACCAGAGAGGCTGAGATCCTTCTGCAGGGCCCTCAGGCCCTCCCGGTTCCGATTCCTTTTGGTATCCAGGTCCACAATCTGAAAAGCACAGGGGCAGGAAGGAACTCAGCTACTGATTACCCCAGCCTATACTCCCAACAGACCAGGGCTGTTAAAACCTAACAGAGACAAGCCATCATTCCTAGGTTAATTCCAATGTCCTGCCTAAAACAGACTGATGTGTGAAGGTATTTCTTCCCCCACTCAGCTTCCAGCTCCTTAAAAACAATGCTTTGTCCAGGTGTCTTTCCCCAAGAGGAGGTGCCGGGGAAATGTTTAATGACTAAATAGGTAAATTTTTTTTATTATCCACTGAAGCCTAGTTCTCAAGCTTTAGGGCATTTCAGAATCGCTAGGAGAGTGCAAACCACTCCCTGGACAAGCTCCTCCAGTTGATTCTGACCTAGTATCATGAAAAACCCAACAATATTAGATCAGAACAGCAGAGGTGTTGGCACTGAGACGGTGGTAACAGCCCAACAGCTACAAAGGGAGTGAGCAGGCTGTACAGCATACTGCCTGACAGCACTGGCTCTGAAGCCGAATACCCAGGTTTGAATCCTGCTGTCCACTATGAGCTATGTGATTCCACCTCTCTGAAAAAAGTAGACAGGAACAGGGCCCACCACATAGGTTACTGTTATTTTAAACTTTTTGTTATTTATTTATTTGGAGTATAATTGCTTTAGTTATAATTGCTGTGTTAGTTTCTGCTGTACGATGAAGTGAATCAGCTATTATGTATATATATATATATCCCCTCCCTCTTGGACCTCCGTCCCCAATCCCCGATCCCACCCATCTAGGTCATCACAGAGCACCGAGCTGAGCTCCCTGTGCTATACAGCAGGCTCCCACTAGTTACTTATTTTACACATGATAGTGTATTTATGTCAAACCTAATCTCTCAATTCATCCCACCCTCCCCTTCACCCACGTGTCCACACATCCATTCTCTACATCTGTGTGTCTATTCCTGCCCTGCAAATAGGTACATCTGTACCATTTTTCTAGATTCCACATATATGTGTTAATATACGATATTTGTTTTTCTCTTTCTGACTTACTTCACCCAGTATGACAGACTCTAGGTCCATCCACATCTCTACAAATAACCCAATTTCATTCCTCTTTATGGCTGAGTAATATTCCATTATACACGTGGATGTATCTCACATCTTCTTTATCCAGTCATCTGTCGATAGACACATTTAGGTTGTTTCCATGTCCTGGCTATTGTAAATAGTGCTGCAATGAACTCTGGGGTACATGTGACTTTCTGTATTATGGTTTTCTCAGGGTATATACCCAGTAGTGGGACTGCTGGGTCATATGGTAGTTCTATTTTTAGTTTTTTTAAGGAACCTCCATACTGTTCTCCATAGTGGCTGTATCAGTTTACATTCCCACCTACAGTGCAAGAGGGTTCCCTTTTCTCCACACCCTCTCCAGCATTTATTTTTTGTGGATTTTTTGATGATTGCCATTCCAACTGGTGTGAGGTGATAACTCATTGTAGTTTTGATTTGCATTTCCCTAATAATTAGTGATGTTGAGTATCTTTTCCCACCACGAACTCCCTTAAAACCCTTGGCATTTCCATTAGAACCAGACCCAAACTCCCTGTGCAGGTCTACATGGCCCTCCATGGCCAGGGCCCAAAGCTCCTACCACGTCCCCACTCCGTGCCGTGCCACGCATTTGACCCACGTGATCTCACAACCGCCCAGTCTGTCGTCACAGCCCTTGGCCCACAAGCCTCGGTCAGCTCACGGCGAGGCCGAGCTGAAGCCAGTCCCGAACCACGCGCGTTTCTCTAGGCGCTCGCCATCAGGCCAAACCCGGGCCCCAGCCCCGCGGACGGGCCTCCTACCTGCCGTCTGTCCGCCAGCACCTCCTCGGCGAGCCCCTCCACCTCCACGAGGTACTGAAGCACCCGCTCCGCCTCGGGCGACAGCACGGTGTTCATCTGCTCCGACTCGGCTCGGCCGCGATCCGTATCCACCTCCGCTCTACCTCCGCCGCGGCTCGGTCCGCGCACTCGCCGATCTGACAGGGCTTCCGGCGCGCACGCGCAATTGAAAGAAGAACGGTGGCGCGCAGGCTCCAATGCACGCGCGGCGGGCGGACGCGAGAGGCGGGGCCTAGCTTTGGGGGGGCGGGGCTGAAGCGCCCCCTGCAGGCACAAACCTTTCAACCTCTCCCTTTCATACAGTTCTCGAGCCCCTCCTCTGTGCCAGGCAGTTTTAGGGGCTGAGGGTGCAGCATTGAACGAAACAAAGTCCATGCCCTCGTGCAACTTCATCTAGCCAGAAACATCGACAATTAATGACAAAACAAATAATTATATACTATGGCAGGCAGTGATAGTGCTTTGGAGAAATCAAATCATTCTTCCCCTCCCTACCTGAGGAACACCAAGGAGGCCCATGTGGCAGTGTGACTTATATTAACCTCTGACACCTTCAGGTTCCAGTTTATAAAATGAGAGTGAATAAAACTCCCCCTCATTGTCTTTCCTCAGTGTTGGAAGGAGGCAGGAATCTTTTTAAATTCAGTTTGACCCCCATGTTCGTTGAGCCCCTGTGTTAGGCCCAATGTCCGGAATAGCTGACCTAGACCCAAGGAAGGGGCTGGAAAACCATGGGCAGTGAGCGATGAAGTGCCAGCTCAGAAGAAAGTTGTGTAAGTGCTGGAAAGTGAATTGGTGTGGGCTGTAGGATCTGGGAAGACTTCCAAGACGAGGCAGGCAGGTGGAAAGTGGCGGCCCTTCAGAGCCAGAGGGTTCCCTAGAGATCTTCAAGCCCAATACCTCATTGTACAGCTGCGAAAACCAAGGTTGAGAGAGTGGCGAGGACTTTAAAAAGTCAAGAGCAGGGCCTCCCTGGTGGCACAGTGGTTGAGAGTCCGCCTGCCGATGCAGGGGATACGGGTTCGTGCCCCGGTCTGGGAGGATCCCACATGCCGCGTAGCGGCTGGGCCCGTGAGCCGTGGCCGCTGAGCTTGCGCGTCCGGCAACGGGAAAGGCCACGACAGTGAGAGGTCCACATATCGCAAAAAAAAAAAAAAAAAAAAAAAAGTCAAGAGCAGACCCGGTACTGGAGCTCTGACCTCTTGTTTCCCTGAGTCCAGCTTTTTATTTCTCTCCTTTTGGCCACTGTAACCTTTCACACCCCTTGCCTTACTTGAATTGCACAGCAGCCTTTGTGGGGATGGGTTATTACACACTTCACAGTTGCAGACTGAGGCAGGGAAAAGGGCAATGCTCTGTCACACAGCAAGCCAGACCGCAGCTGTCTCTGGACCCTGAAAAAAGGCCCTCCCCTAAATCGTGGCCCCAGAAGTCGCAGTAGCACCCCGTCTTTGCCTGGCCATTGGCTTCTTTCAACTGCCAGAGGCAGAGCTAGTTTTCCCTGCAGCCACCTGGCATGGGGAAAGAAGGAGATTCATTAAGGATTCCTCATTGAGGGTGAATTTGTCGCCAAACCCAGGATGTTTTGTGTAAACACCTTCTGGTTCAGAAACGCAGACGCAGGCCCTGTGAAGGAAGGGGGAACATTTGCCAAAGGAGAAACAGGCCTCACCAGGCATCTGTGGGGCCTGGACCCCAGGACTGGGTCTCCTCCATCTTGGGGCTCAAAGAGGGCTGGACCAGGCTGACCCCTGGCCCCTGGCAGATGGGCCCGGGTGAGGAAGGGTTGAGAAAGTCTCCCAAATTGGCAGCTTCTTGGCTGTGACTGGCCCTCGGAGGGCACCCCTGGCCACTGGCAATGTTGGGGAGGGAGGTCATATCTAAGACTTTGGGACAGTCAGACCTGAAAGGGCTCCTGTTTCAGAATCACTTATGTTTCAGAACCATCTATTTCACAAATATTTATTGACTGCCCTGGCCCTGTTATAGGGATTCCACCGTGAGCAAAACCAGACATTGTCCTTGCCCTCAGAAAGCTTTCAGTCTGGTGGGAGAGACAGACAATAAACACGTGAACAAGCAACTATATCATATGTCAGGTGGTGGGTGATAAGTGCTATGGAGCACACTGCAGGGCAAGGTGGAGAGGGAATGAACCAGGGACGACTTGAGATAAGGTAGTCAGGGAGGGCTTCTCTGAAGAGGTGGCATTTGTGCAGAGATGTGGAGGAGGTGAGCGGGTGAGCCACGTGGGCATCTGGGGGATGAGCATTCCAGGCAGAGGGAACAGCAAATACAAAGGCCCTGAGATGAGCCTTCGTTTGGCAAGTTGGAAGGACAGCAAAGCCAGTGTAGGTGGAACAGAATGTGGGGGGAAGGGGGGGGGCGGGCAGAGTAGGAAGTGATGTCAGAAAGGGGAAGGAGGCATGGAGCCTATGCGCCTATAGATGGGGCTATAGGTGCCCTGCCCACATGGCCAGGCCCTCCTTGGGGGTGGCCTGCAAGTACTGCAGCACAGGCCTGTGGCTTCCTGTTTCTCCCGGCTCACAGATGCAGGCTGAGTGGGGAATGCAGGTGAGTTAACATCCACAGGAGTGGCCCTCAACAAAGAAGAGGAAGGAGCTAGTGGCTGCCTACCCCAGCTTCTTTGCCTCTCTGTGGGAGACCCACGAGGAGGCTGTTACAATCATCCAGGCAGGAGAGGATAGTTGCTGGACAGAGGGTAGCAATGGAGATAGTGAACACTGGTGGGATTCTCCGGGCCTTTGCACACACTCTTCCATCAGCCTGGATTCGTTTTCTCCCAAACTTTGTACCTGTATAACTACTACATGTCCCCCACTTATCAGCTTGGTGTCACCTCCTCCCAAAGGTCAAGAGTCCTCTCGGGGCCCCCACAGCTTCCTGGGCTACCCACACCTCTGCACTTACCACACCATCTTTTTCTCTAATCATCTCCCTCTCCAGTTGACAGTTCCTCAGGGCAGGGACCTTGTCTGTCATGTTTGCTGCTGTGTCTCCAGGACTAGGATGGTGCCTGGCATACAGTCAGTGCTCAGCCATGGGCTCAACATGAAGCAGAACTTTCTAAAACCCAAAGTATCCAAAAGTGAACAGATCCAACCCAAGGGTAACTAGCTCCCCACGCCATAAGGTGAATAAGGCTGGACTGCCACGTTATTGGGACATTGCAGAGCATGGAACCCTCTGCAACTCAGGTGGAGGTGGACCCTCGGTCTTTCCTAACCAGAAAATTCTACCTAGTCACACTAGGGTATGCCCCATCTTTAGCCACCCACCGCCCCAGGCCAGAAGGGCTGTAACTACTGGGGCTTTGGTGTTTGGGGACTGGAGGCAATAAGAACGATGCTGCACCCCTTCCCCTTGGACCTCCTTTGACTGTTTCTGTGCGCCCCACCCTTGGGTAAGTGTTCAGTGACCAGCACCTACTTCTCTCCTTCGGGAGGACTGCTCTCAAGCTGCTGGAGCCTTCTGGGGGGACCCACCCTTCCTGCAAGCTGTAGCTCATCATTTCGGGGTTATGAAAGCCCACCTTCTTTGCGTAGGATGCTGGCAGGGGTGTGGGTGGATAACTCTGAGGTGTAACTTATGCTCCAGAGTTCCCCCATGGAGTCAGGCTGAAGCAGCCACCCACACGACATCCGCAAGTGCTACTTGGCTTCCTCTCCTTCCCTGTCCTGCCTCCCCCACTCCCTTATGGTCAGAACCCTCCAACGCTCCCATCTCACTCAGTAAAAGCCAAACTCCTCACCGAGGCCCGCAGGGCCCTACATGACCTGCCCTACCTCTCTGAGCATCTTCCACCTCTCTCTCCAGCACCTTGCTGCTCCTCAAACCAGCCAGGCACAGTTCCACCTCAGGGCCTTTGCACTGGCTGCTGCCTCCGCCTGTACTTTCCCTTGGTGTCCTCTTGTCTCCCCCGCTCAGCTCCTAAAAGTCTTTGCTTAAATTTCACCTTCTCAGTGAGGCCTACCCTGACCATTCTATTTAAAAATAAAACCCCCACCCCCCCAGTACTCCTGATCAACTTCCTCTGCTCTACTTTTTTTTTTTTTTACAGCTTTTGTCACTTTCCAGCATGCTATTTAATCTACTTATATTTATTGTTAATCTCCCTCTGTTAGAAAGGAAGTTCCATGAGGGCAGGAATCTTTGTCTCATTTGTTTCTGATGTATCTTCAATACCTAGAACACTACCTGGCCCACAGTAGGTGCTCAATAAACATTTTTGAATGAATGAATGAAGAAAAGAGCCAGAATTCTAACCAAGGCAGATCTCTCTGAGGCCAGGCTCTTAACCCCTGTGCTGGAGGTGGAGGTGGGAGTGGCAGGTCATGCCAGGCCTTGTTGTTAAGGTGAAGGGATTGGATTTTGTTCCCAGATCAATACGAAGCTACTGGAGGGTCTTGAGCAAGCAGGGGACGTGAGTGGGTTTTACCTTGTGAAACCTCTCTGTCTGTGGGGAGAGGATAGGCTAAAAAGGACAAGTATGGTGCGGTCGTGTGTGTGTGTGTGTGTGTGTGTGTGTGTGTGTGTGTGTGTGT